TGATTATCGAGAACTGCTTATCAAAGTTTGCATTGTTGTCAGGCCCTGCCTGCCCCGCCCCCCCCCCCACGCTGTCCCCCCTTACAGATGTTAAAATCTGGTCACCCTACTCTATGTACATATGTAATTCTTTTTGTTCTGAAATGTTTAAGTTGAAGTTTTATATCCCCCAGTATTAAGACACTTTACTATATATTCCCTAAGAATGAAGATTTTCTTTCATGTAGACAGTTATCAAATTTAGGAAATATAATATGAATCTAAGGCTGTTATTTAATCTGTCCATATTCAGAATATGTTGCCCCAATAATGTGCTTTGTGGCTACTTTTTCTCCTGGATGAGAATCTAATTCAGAGGCACATACTGCATTTAATTAGGAAGCCTCTTTTGCCACCTTTAATCTGAAATAAGCTCCACAGTCTTGGTATTTCTTGACCTTCAGATTTTTGAAAAGTATCACTTATTTTGTAAAAATGCCACCCAAGTTTGTGGCATTACTGGTGTTTCCTAATGATTAGATTGAAATTACTTTGGGTCCAGGTGTGGTGACTCAACACCTATAATCCTAGCACTCTGGAAGGCCACGTCGTGTTAATTGCTTGAGCTCAGGAGTTCCAGACCAGCCTGAGCAAGAGTGAGACCTGTCTCTAAAAATAGCCAGTGCTGTGGCGCTTGCCTGTAGGCCCAGCTACTCCGGATGGTATTCTACTCAGGGCAACAAGATGAAACTCTGTCTTCCAAAAAAAAAAAAAATGTTACTTTTGGGTGAGAAAATTACAGAAATGGTGTCCTTTATATCCAAAGGCAGATGATGTTGTTTTATATCCATATTTTGATGATAAATTTGACCATTTGGTTAAGATGATGTCTACCATGTTTCTCTAGTAGTGTTATTTTTCTCTTTATAATTAACAAGTAATCTGCAGAGTGATACTTTGAGGCTATTTAAATATCTTGTTTCTCATCAAACTTTTATTCCCTAAACACCTGTTGATGCATTGATGATTTTCTATCTCCATCATTCTCTTTATATATTTATTAGTTATATTCTAGTATGAGGAAGAGATTTCCTTTTTTACTGATTTTATTCAGTGAATTATGATCCATTATGATATGATGGGATTTTTAAAAATTATTTTTTATTAAATCATAACTTTGTACCTTGATGCATTTATGGGGTTCAGGGTATTGCTTAGTTCCTCTCTCCCAAGTTTATAGGTAGGTCATCTTACCTACTTTTGTTGACAACCCATTGCACTGTAGAAGTTTTTCTTACAGGAAAAGGCTTCCAGACTAAAGCTTACTTCATTGATTTCCTTATGAATTTGATCTAGTCCTGTTTAACCACTTGTTTCCCTCTCTGTTGTTCGTTCATGTAATATTACAGGTAACATTCTCGTGTTTGCATGTTCATATGTGTGTCTATGTCTTTTGTATGATCACACATATTACAGATTAACTAAGGGGCCTTGCTTATGAAATAGATCATGTGATTTAGAGATTACAAGTTCTTCTGTTCACCAAAAGCAGATTTATAAATAAATGTGTTAGCTGCCTCAGGAATCTAGAATTTTTCTTTTTTCTTTTTTTTTCAGACAGAATCTCACTTTGTTGCCCTGGGTAGAGTGCCTTGGCGTCATAGCTCACAGCAACCTCAAAATCTTGGGCTCGAGTGATTCTCTTGCCTCAGCCTCCCAAATAACTGGGACTACAGGC